GGCGGGGTGAGTAGCAGCTTGGCGGCGGGAGCCAGGAAGGCTATTTCCGGGGCGTGGCTTCTCAGCCCTGGGCCAGGTATGCACCAGGCCCGCCTTCCTACCTGGCTGGTGTGGCTTGGTGTCTCGACTTGTGGGGTCGGGGTTTATCAAAATATCTGTCTAACAGCGGCGGAAAAGGAGGGAGCGATTTGTGATTTATAGAGAGGGGCCACTTGGAGCCTCATAGGAATAGGGTGTTGGAGTTTGAAAGGTCAGAACTACTTGCCCTGGCCATAGATTTGGAAATAGAGAAAAAGAGAAATGAGTCAAGCCCTCCCTTCTGATTTTTGGATAGTGGATATTCTAGAACCTATGTCAGAAGGGAGCTACCCAGGAATCTCTTGGGAATGAGTGACATTCTGTAGGAGCGACTTGGGTGTGCATATTCAGTAATTGTGTTCTATTTAGGTTTGAAATCAAGGGATAACTGACTGTAAGAGTTGGACTTTACAAATAAAGTACCATTTTTTACAATGAGTTTCAATCGTTTTCTCCATCAGCAACAGCAACTAAAATAGACACATGAGTTTTAGTTCCATAACTTCTAGAACTTCTATTAATAGTGAAGTAGCCCCAGGGAAAAGGAGAATTAACCAATATACAGACCGAAATTAATTGAGCATTGTGACCTGGTTGCTTTACCTGCATCCATTTTGCCCTCAGACCTGCACAAATTCTGACTTGAGTAGGTGACCATAGTTTGGGTGATTCAGAAGCTGTGAATATCTGGTCTTATGGGGAGAAGGGGAGGACAGGAATTTTTGGAGAAAATGGAGTAGAAATCAAGGGAAAGAAATATTATTCTAACTTAGATTTAATTTGACAGATGTCTTCCTTTCTGCTTCCTAGTGGCCTCCATACATGAGCGTGCATAGACTATTTGTGTATTTGTATTTGGGCAGTTTCAGTTTAATGTTAGTAGCATCCGACAGGGGGAAAATAGAACAAACTGTTAAGCTTTTCTCTTCCAGAGCTGACCTAAGGTGTGATTTGTGGTAGGAAGAAGATGCAAGCCAGCCCCATCCGCATCCCAACTGTTAGCAATGACCCGGACTGGGATTCCTGCTTCCACCTGTAAGTATCACAGAACCTTGACATCACACACACTCCTGGCCTAAACACTGGGGCCTCCCATTTAAGGCAAGTCTGTGAGGGAAACTGCACCTGGACATTTACTTATTTATTTTTTGGAGAGGTTTTTGCTATAGGGCATGTGCGCTCGCCAGAAAGACAGAGAGAGACAGAGAGACAGAAAGTGAGAAATCACCCCCCAGGGGGGGATGGCCATGCTGCAATCCCTTCTCTTCCATTCTTGGGCACGCACACAATTGCGCCCAGCACGAGTTTAAGCCACTGGGTCTGGGACTCGAACCATAGTCTGCTACATGGGAGTTCAGCGACACAGCCATTATGCTAACTGCTGGTCCCAAAACTGCACCTGCACATTTTATTTACTGAACATTTACACCCATGTTGGTTCTCATTTCACCCTACAGCATGTCATTCATTCCCACTAGAGCCCTGGGTAACTCTATGGCCCAGGCTCCAGAACATTCATTATCTGAAAGTTATAGGAAAGCTTCACTAATTTCTCCTCCTAATCTCTATTTCTGGGACCAGCGGTTGGCATCATGGTAATGTCGCTAGACTCCCATGTAGTCAACCTGGGTTCAAGTCCCAAACCCAGTAGGCCTATGTGCAAGTGTGCCCAAATTCCCAAGAGAATAGAAGAGAAGGGATTGTAGCATGGCCAGCCCCCCCAGGAGGGGGTGATTTCTTGCTTTCTGTCTCTCTGTCTCTCTGTCTTTCTGGCGAGCACATGTGCCCTATAGCAAAAACCTCTCAATATATATAATTCCAAAAGTATGTCTAGGGCAAGGGGTTCTTACCTCTCAAACTCGTATCCCCTGTTCCTATGAGTTTTCGCCTGGCCCTGAATTAGAACACCAAACTTTGTAGAAGGTTCAGCTTCCATGATATATTTTAATAATGATTTTGCTATACTACTCATTTGTATCAAAAGTTATGGAAGATGGAAGATAATTGTTTTTCTACTGACTTAAGGAAAATTTTAAGATTTTTTTTTAAATAATAAAGATAGGTTATTTATAACAAGATTGGTAAGGTCAGAGAATTAAATATACAAAGTTGAGTTAATTAAGTTTCTTGAAATAGACAATGAGTTAAACACAAATCTTTACATCACAATAGCTAATACTGAGCACTGCCATGGGACAGTCCCTGGAAGACTCTGGGAGGGAGGTACTGCTATTACCACATATTGTAGAGGAGAAATATGAGAAAGGTTAGGCAGTTTGCCTAAAGTCACACAGCTTGTTAGTGGTATTTAAATGGAATGTTCTGACTCCAGAGTCTTGTCTTTAACCATTTCTGTATACTAGAACTTCTCAACCTTGAACAATTAACATTTGGCATCACATAACTTATTTGTAAAGGACTATGCTTTGCACTATGGGATGTTAAACAGCATCCCTGGCCTTTACCCATTAGATGCTAGTAACCCTGTCATCAATTGTGGCTACCAAAAATGTCTCCAGACATTGCCAAATGTCTCCTGGGGTTAAAAATTACCTTGACTTGAGAATAAAGGAACTTAATTTTAATACTATATTTCATTTATCTTAATATATCCAAAATGTTGGGTTGTCAGAAAAATCATTTTTCCATAAAAAAATACATTATGGTTTTTACCAGAAACCTAATGTTGTATACAATTATTAATGAAAGTTCTTTTTAAAGATTTAATTTTATTATTTTTTTTTTAGAGGTTTTTGCTATAGGGCGCGTGCACTCGCCAGACAGACGAGAGAGACAGAGAGACAGAAAGCGAGAAATCACCCCCCAGGGGGGATGGCCACGCCGCAATCCCTTCTCTTTTCTCCTCTCAGGATCTTGGGCATGGACACACACGTGCCCAGCATGTGTTTAAGCCACTGGGTCCGGGACACAAACTGCAGTCGACTACATGGGAGTCCAACAACATAGTCATTATGCTAACTGCTGGTCCCTTATTATTTTTTAACTCACCAGGAAGAGACAGAGTGAGAGAAAGAAAGTGAGAAAGCAAGTCACCAGGTCTCGGGGTCAAACTGCAGTCGGCCATGTGGGAGTTCAACACCTTAACCATCATGCCACCTGCTGGCCCCAGTTACTGAAAGATTTTACATATTTTTTCATAGTAAGTCTGAACTCCAATGTGTATTTTATACTTACACACATCTCAATTCAGGCTAGTCACATTTCATATGTTTAATAACTACATGAGGCAGAGGTTACTGTATTAGATAGTGCAATTTTATATTACCCCACAAGATATCTTGAGGTTGAAGCTTATATAACTGTAACAAAGTTTTAAAATGTAGAATTCACAATAGAATATCTAGGAAAAATTAGATGACTCATATTGAATGTTAAAAATCAGAATTATTATTTATAATTTCAATATATGAAATAACTTACAAACTTGTAAAGCATAATCTTCATGCATCCTGCCTTTTTTTTTCCCTGTAGGGTGCTTGAGCTTGCTGGAGACAGGCAAAGAGGGAGAGTGAGAGAAAAAGTGAGAAAGCATGCCCTCCTCACCTCCAGGATGACCACTGCATAATCCCTTCTTCTGTAGTCGTCTTTTGGGATGTTGGGCACACGCACTCACACCTGGTGCGTTTTTCAAGCTGACGAGTCCCAGACTTGAATCACGCAGTCAGCTATGTGGGGCTCCAGCTACCTTAACCACTGTATTACCTGTCTGGCCGCTACCTATTATTTTTTTCTGACTGTTGTTCAAGATACTTGACTGGTCGATATTTTTCAGCCATGTTTCTTATCATTTATAATAAGATGTTCTAGTGTAGAGATTTGCATTCTCAAATAATTTGTCAAGACCTCAATGTTTTTTTATTTCTTTATGAAAACTTACTGCCTTTAGTTCAGCTTAATTTCATTCAAGGATTAATTTAAAACATTTGGGCTCTGGGCTACTGAGTTGTGGAAGTTATGGCTGTAGGATCCCACATGCCTGAGCGTGCGATTCAAGTCCCATTCCTGGTGACTTGAAAAACACACTGGGTATGTGTGTGGACCCATTCAAATCCTGAAAAGAAGGAGAAATGGAGAAGAGATTCTGTCACCACTCCCCCTGGTGATTTCTTTCTCACTTTCCATTTTTCTCCCTGTCTTTCTCCAACATGTCCATGCACCATCTAGCAAAATTTAAAAACACAAAAATTTGGGCTGTGCCTATAGGCTGAGTGGTTAAGGGAACCAGATACCATATGGCTAACCACAGTTCAAATCTCAGCCCTGGGGACCAGCAGTTAGTGTCATGGCTATGTCTCTGGACTCCCATGTAGTCGACTGCCGTTTGAGTCCCGGACTCGATGGCTTAAACTCACGCTGGGTGCATGTGCTTGCGTACCCAAGATCAAGAGAGGAGAATGGAGGAGGAGCGATTGCGGCATGGCCATCCTCCCTAAGGGGTGATTTCTTGCTTTCTGTCTCTCTGTCTCTCTCTGTCTTTTTGGTGAGCGCACGTGCAAAAACCTCCAAAAAAAAAATCTCAGCCCTGACAGCTTGAAACATGCTGGGCATGTAAACATACATAACTAAAATCCCCACAGAATAGTGAAATGGAGAAGGGGTTGTGGTGGGACCATGCCCCATTCAGGGATGTTTTTTCTCTTTCTCTCTCATAAGTGCAGACACCCTCTGGCAATGAAAAAAAAAATATGTAAGGTTTATAATCTTAATAGTCACAGTTAATCTCTTTGGTGACCCCAGTAGATTTTTCTGTTCTAAGTCTGTGAAGCCTAAGCAAAATCTGTTGAAGGACTAAATTTTCTTTCTATGAGTTTTCTTATAATCTCGTCACAGATTTTTCTCTCTCCTCAAATTTTTCAGACATTCTAAAGATTTTGCACTTTTTATTGTAAGTCAGATGTCAAGATTTCAGAAACAAATGAGACTCGGCCCCTGCCCTGGTGGCATTTACTTGCTAGAAGGCAAAGCAGACTTAAACAAAATGAACACAGAAAATCAGACCCTAGTGTAATTCACACTATAGCAGCAGTTTGGGGACAATTTTTTTCAGGCTCTTTGTAGGGGGTATTGTCACTCTAGTGATAGACTTCAGCAGAGGTGACATCTGTGTTTTGCATCATAAAGGAGGATTACAAATTCACCAGGCAAGTTTACCTGTGTTCTGATGGCATGTTATCACCAGCCTTCCCTGGCTCTTTGTGCTAATGTATCTACCGAAAGCGTGCTTATCTGTAGGCGGAAGGCGACTTTGTTTGGACCTGGGCCTGAGGAAATGCTGCTCTTCTATCCATGTGACCTAATGTGCCTATACGTCCCTGGCTGGATTCCTTGGAAAATGGATGGATGTTAGCGTGTCATTTTTTTTTTTGTTCTTTTTTTTTTCCTGCTGAGGGCATGTACATTCAACAGAGAATGACAGAGACAGAGAGAGAGAGGGAGAAGAGAAAGGTCCCTCCCTCTGCCACCATGGGGAATGGTCACACCACAATCCCTGTTCCTCCATTTCTTCCTCCTGTCAGGATTTTGGGCACACGCAAACATTGCCTGATGTGTTTTTTAGCACTGCTGGTTCTGGGACTCAAATTGTGTGGTTGGTCATGTGGGATCTGGCTGCCTTAACTACCAGGCCACAGAGCCAGCCATAGCATGTCATTTTTCAAACTGGGTGTGAAATATTTCATTGACATTTTCCTTTTACACTTTTCTGAATTTTTTTTAGATAATAAGTATTCATTACTTAAGTGATCTGTGGAAAACAAAGTTAAGTTTTATTTTAGAAACTATGCAGTAGATGTATTCTTGTTTTTTAAGTTTCTGTTTTCTAATACTACTTTTTATTTTATTTTATTTTATTTATTATTATTATTATTGTAAAAATTTGTTCTAGGGCATGTGTGCTCACCAAAGAGAGAGAAAGTGAGAAAGCAAGCCACAAGATCTGGGACTTGAACTGCAGTAGGCCATGTGGGAATCCAGCACCTTAACCACCACACCACTTGCTGGCCCCCTTTCTCCCTTTCTCGAGAAGAAAGGGAGACTGACTTATTTCAGAATCTTTTTTTTTTTTTGGAGAGATTTTCACTGTAGGGCGCGTGCGCTCGCCAGACAGACAGAGAGAGACATAGAGACAGAAAGTGAGAAGTCACCCCCCACGGGGGATGGTCACGCCGCAATCCCTTCTCCTCCATTCTCCTCTCGGGATCTTGGGCACGCACGCACACGCGCCCGGTGTGAGTTTTAAGCCACCGGGTCCGGGACACGAACCGCGGTCGACTACGTGGGAGTCCAGCGACATAGCCATTATGCTAACTGCTGGTTCCCTATTTCAGAGTCTTTTCATGCTGCATTCCTCCAGCCTTTTGGCCAACCAGGATCACAGGTGTGTGTATACCCAGCATACTCAGGTCAACCCAGGATCTGGACCATGGGCTTTCTGATGGACTCTGGCATCTTGCAGTGATGTACTATCGCCTGCACCACTCAACTGGGCTGAAGTGGCTAAACTTATTTAAAGCAAATGTGAATATGAGATGATTCATTTTAGAGACTTATTTATAAGTAATTAAAATTGCTCCCATTGCTTTTCAGATCTTGGAATTTTGTTTCTTATGGATCACATTTACCAGAGAGTGACAGAGAGAGAGAGAGAAAGAGGAAAGAGAAAGGTTTTATAGACTTTTCCAGTGATGTTAGGGTATGGTTGGTTATCTTTCTAGTTGTATGAGAGTAGAATGACTTTGTCTTTACTATTTCAATTACTTACTCACAACTGTGTTTAGCATTGAAGTCAGAGATCTTCTGTGTTGGATATGAATGTGACTGTGACTATGTGTGTGTGCGAGAGAGAGAGAGAGAGAGAAAGGGAAATTCAACCTATTCGACTCTTTCTCACCACTCAGTTCTTTAAAATACACTGAGAAGGTTCCATTTCTCTCCTGACCCTGCTCGTGACCCAATATAAAGTTCCTGCCCGATCTCTACTGGGACCCACATCCTCTAGTTGGCCACTAAACATCGAAGCTTGTAATATGTGAAAGAGGATATGTGAAGTCCAGTCTCAAAATACTAGTTCCTTTTCTCTTATTCCATTTCTATATTCATTTCTTTTTTTCGTTTCTATATTCATTTCTTTTTCCTGGTTTGGCGCAGTGTTTTTGAACTTGAAGGCTCTCAGAGACCTTTCAGTTCAACAACTTCATTTCTTAGATGAAGAAACCAAGTCATGGCGCTAATGATAAAAGTAACAATTAGTGTTAAAGGAGAATTTATTAAATGTTGGGCACTGTTCTAAGTTATTTACTAATATTATCTCATTTAATCCTATAATCTCATCAGGTGCATATTAATATTGTTGATGGAAAAATAATCAACTGTAAAAATTAGTAATTAATAATTCGTGCAGTTTATTTCCAAGCAGAATATGAGTGACCTAGGCTCAGAGAGGAGGCATACATGCCTTTCTCGGGGTGAATATGGACAGGGGTTCCTTTTATTTGATTTTGAGATTTACAGACAAAATTAGTGAAGAGATTTCCATTGGTCTGGCCCATAGAGGTGGAACATGTGGAAGGGGGCTTGTAGGTTATAGGTGGGTTCCACAATTCCTAGGCCGGTGATTGGAAGGGAAGATCTGTGTCCTGGGAAGAGATTCGCAAAGAAATGGAAGTTCTGTGCCTTGGGAAGAGGTTAGCGAAAGGATATACTGTAATCACTTAAATATACATCTCAAAGGTACTATGCCCAGGACAGGATGCAGGAAGAATCCTGTTAAATGGAAAAAAAAAATGGTCCCTTAATGTTTGTGGGCAGGACTCCTCCTAGGTCCTCTGGAAAGGACTTTGGAAAAATAGGAAAAAGCAGTCAGACTTCTGTCCACAAATATCAACCTCATTTTTTAAAAGCGTTATTTATTCAATTTATTATTATTCTTCAGTTTGACCAGGGAGAGAGAGAGAGACAGACAGAGAAAGAAAGTCATCAGGAGAGCTGGGACTCGAACCATGGTCAGCCATGTGGGAGTCCAGTGTCTTAACCACCATGTCACCTGCCACCCCAATAACAACCTCATTTTATAGAGAAGTAGATTAAATAATAGGGTCTTGTGGTTAAAAATTGGCAGAACTGTAACTCTAATGCAGGTACTTCACCAAGTCTTGGGCCACCCCATTTGTTATCCTAATACTAGGCATTGAGGGTAACATGAGTTTACCACATGCCTTAATTCTTTCAGATTTAATTTAGAAAGCATGTCCTTGTCCCCTTGTTGGGAGGGATATGCTCTTCAATTTTATCTTGTTGCAATAGACAAAGATCAGTTCCTGACTCCATGACCTTCTCATACCTGCAGGTCAGAGCAAATGGAGAGCCCAGCAGAACAGCAAACAGAGGAACTGTACCCCACTTATGGGTCTGAAGAGAGTGAAGACGACACTAAAGCCAAGAAAGAAAAGATAGTCCTTGACTGTATATCTCTTCCCAAAGAGAAATTAGTTCAGTCCCAGAAGAAAATAGCTCAGCTAATTAAGAAAAAAATGGTAAAACAAAGAGGTTACTATATTCTTGTTTCTGTTTAAAAATGTTCATGATTAGGTACCAACAGATGGCATTATAGTTACGTTGCTGGACTCACACATAATCGACTGCGGTTTGAGTCCTGGACCCTGCTGCTTAAACTCACGCTAGCCACGTGTGCTTGTGTGCCCAAGATCCCGAGAGGAGAATAGAGAAGAAGGGATTGCGGTGTGGCCATCTCCCCTGGGGGGTGGTTTTATGCTTTCTGTCTCTCTGTCTCTGTCTTTCCAGCGAGTGCACACTCCCTATAGCAAAAACCTCTCAAAAATAAATAAATAAATAAATAAATAAATAAATAAATAAATAAATAAATAAGCAAACTCCACTTCACAGCACAATGACGCCCATAAAGTAGAGGAGGCATTATTTTGGGTTGTTGGAAAAATCATGATGCATTTTGCATAGAAAATACATCATGACTTTTCTGATGTCCCAATATTTCTTTGTAAGTGGGAGAAATAAAACAGCATAGTGGTTAGCCACCCCATTTTCCAGTTCCATGCACCATTCATAGTCTGTCCCTTCTTGGAGTGTTTGTGTGTCTAGTTTTTAACTAACAATATTTTACCATTTTGACTTACTTATTTGATTACCTTTAATTAAATTCTTTTAAAATTTCTTTCTTTTTAAAAAGAATTATTTCATTTAACTTTATTTATTTATTTAAATGTGACTAGAGAGGGACAGAGTGAGAGCAAGAGCAAAAGCAAGCCACCAGGTCCGGGACTCAAACTGCAGTCAGCTGTGTGGGAATCCAGTGCCCTTAACCACCACACCATCTGCCAACCCCTTACATTTCTTCTTGAAGGATTCAGGATAATTCTAGGGTAAGATTGCCTGGATAGCAAAGGCAGGAGGAAGCTGAGAACAAGGGTGGCTAGACAGAGGTAAAGGCTCAGATCTGGCAAGAATATGGGTAAAATGCCTGTGGTTACAATGGAATCATAAGCAAACTGAAGGGCCAGAACAGGAAGTAACAGCAGAGGTCAGAGTCTGGGTATGCATTTCTAAGAGCAAGTCAAGAATTCGAGAACTAGAATCTCAGAGCAAGTGTGTGTTCAAAATCCAGGATCCTGAGTCAGCAAGACATCAACTCTCATTATTAGGACCCAGGCACCAGTCTGCTTCTAGAGTATGATTTGTCAACAAAGGAGTTCAGCCACTGGCTTCCTGGCCATTCCTGGTCAAGGAAAAAAAATGACTTGGAGTAAGTATATGAAAAGAGGTTTGCAGATAGCTTAAGAAAGGCTGAAAGGTACCTCAGAAAAAGATAGAAATTATACCCACCAGTTGACTATCTGTAAGTTTCTCTGTAAATTATTCATTCTGGCTTGAATATATTAGTATTTTACAAATCCAGGCTAGAAGGATCATTTCTAGAAACATGGGGTGCCTTTGTGGACTCTTAAAGCCTGAAAACTCCTAGACTAGTTTGGATAATGATCAAAATTTAGATCTTAGGAGTTAGAACTAACTCAACCCAGTTACTTACACACTTGAAGGTTAGGGGACCATACCATCTACAGCACGTAGCAGCAGTGCTGGGGAGACCTCTAGAGTCTGTTTTGGGTGTCTCAGTTTCCTCAGGGCAGGAAATTTGGGGATGAATACAGAATGTCCAGATCCAGGACAGAACTCAAAGCTTTGAACTTTTGAATCCCATTCCAATGATTCTTGTGGTTTTATGCTTTTTCTTCATAATAGGACTTAGTATTTTCTGTGGGCAGTGTTTTGAGAGTCCCTGGCTAAACTGGAGTTCAAGTATAAGAGCACTTAGCAACTCTGCCCTGATGGGGGCGGGGAGGGGGTGAAGGGGAGCTGGGCATGAGTGCTTACAGTGTGCCTCTCAGGGATACTTTGACCGATTGAGGGGCCTGATGCCAGTTGTCTGTCCTATGTCGGGGAGTCTCTCACATGGGAGACTTGCTTATACTGGCAGATGCCCTGTGGCCCTTATCTAACCTAAGTCCAGTTTATGCCTGACCAGGGCTCCGTGGCTGGGATCCTGATATTGCTTTCCCAGGAGAAAGCCAGGTTGGGGCAACCCATGGTTTTCAGATATCAGGCACAAATTCAGTATACCACCACAACAGGAAACAAGTCAAAGATTTTTTACTTACAGACCCTAAGTAGGGAGGGTGAAATGAGACAGAAGGGTAGTACTCTATCCTTGGACCCGGTGAGGCAGGAAAGAAGAGTCAGAAATAAAGATAGAGACACACAAAGAGAAAACTAGCAGTATTTATAAGGGAATAAGAATATGGGGCACTTTAAATTCATGAGCAAATGCCTGAGTGGCCCATTTGAAGGAAGCAATGATCCCAGTCTGTTAGGAGGGAGAGCTGTGTCTAAGCTTTTTTCCCCCTGGCTGCTGACTTGACCCATTTGAGTGTGTTCTACTTCTCATGCCTAGGTAACAATCTGTACCGTGTCATTCCTGCGGCTAACCCATTGTGAACTTTCAGAAATGTTGACCTAGTGGAATTTTCAAAGCCTCAGGGAAAATGTCCCTCTACCCTTATTTGTATGTATAGTTGAGCAGGGAGCAGGTGAAGTATCAGGTTAGGTAGGGGAGGTAAGGGTATAGAGGGGATGGTCACTGGACTAGATGCTCATATCAGAAATAAAGAGAAGAGGATTTAGGAGTAAATCCATCGAGTCCCCAGCTGAGGAGTGAGAAGGGAAGAGATGGGGGGAAAAAAGGCAAATTTAGTACTACATTTTAGTGATAATTTTGTAGACTGGAGATTTTCCTGCTTTCCAAAAACCATAATGACTTACTCATTCTCTACAGAATATCCAAGCAAACAGGGAGCTGATTCGATGTGTCATCCTCTCTCGGATTATTTTTGGAGAAGAACACTGGAAATGTGCTCAGGCTTTGGTCAACCTGGCTTATGGCTAACTGACACTGCGAGGTACTGGTTCTGGGTGTGCCAGCCTGTAGAGCGACACACAACTTCCCTGGGACAGGACTGACTGGGAGGGCCCCTTCTGCCACCCACTCACACATTGTCAAGAGAGTGCAAGTCCATGGATGAAGCAGACAATGTTGCAAAGATCTTAGTAATAAAGATAATCATCATAATGATGTTGATTTTTTTTAGTTTTTTAGCATGTGCTATGTTAGTCATATTTAGTCCTCATAATATCGTTTAGAGGGAGATACTATTTTTATCCTTAGTTTATGAAATTTATGTTTAGTTCATGATGAAGACACTGAGGCACAGTGGACAAAGAATGATAACAGGTGGTAAGTATGTTCAGTCAGTATCAGGGAAACAGACCCAGTAATAGTGTTGAATTTCCTGGAAGGTCAGGCTTAGGAAAAGGCAGAACCCTTATCCTAGAGAAACGGTATTTCTTAAAAGTAGGCTCATATAGGGGAACAAGATGCAAATCCACCTGCCAATTCATAGAACCCAAGTGAAACTTGTCTAAGGGCAGGAATTTGGCAGTAGGTGATAAATTCTTGATGATAGATTGATTAAAGCAAGAGCATATTTCTGGAACCAGGGTGATGGCCAGCTTAGGCCTCTCTGCCCCTTAACCAGTGATTTCCCCCTACATAGACTGCATTCACTTCTGCCGTGGAACTCATTGTACTATCCTTGTAGCCACTTTATCAGAATGACGCTGCCTCTGAATAGAAGCTCCCTGAATGCAGTTTAGGTCTCATTTATTCTAGAATAGTCCCTTGTAAACAATATAGATCAGCATGTTACTGTTTGATAGAACTAAACCACTGGCCACGCAGGATTTAACTTACAATACAAGTTAAATTACATAAGGGCTCTAATATTTGAGGGCTTTAGGAGAAGGAAACCAATACACCTGGGCCATACTGAGCCTGGAAATCAGAAATACAGCTTCACAGATACCAGAAGTTCTCAGTTATTCTCGGTTATTACTCTCAGAACATCATCTTCTCTGTAACTCTTCTGAGGCTCTTTTGTACTCAGTTGTTTTTAATGTAACTTAGGTTGATAGACTGTTGATGTGACAAGATCATAAGTGGTTGACACTGGGGACATTGGTGCCGTGAGTCACAGTGAGGTCACTTTAGGCCTTAAGAATACATTTGTTGTGTCCTGAAAGAAGGCTGCCATGACTGAGGAGAAGAGGGATTCCTCTCTTATTGATAGAGCAGGCAGCCAATTGTTGGTGAGATTTGAGGGACACCAGGAAGGCCATTGGAAAAACAAAATTTTCGCCATAGTTGGACTCTATCCTTCCTCACTTGTAGTTGCTCTATTCTCATCAAACTTACTTACTCAAAAACTTGCTTTTATTCATGGTAATTAGAATTTAGGGATGTGCCACTTTAATGCTTGCAGAGCTCATATTCTAAGCCTGCAAGCATTGTTCTAGGTGCTGGGACTATATAACTGAATACTAGTGGTTCCTGTACACCTGAATCATGCAAAGGTCTAGTGGTAGGACCCCATAATGGTGTTAGCAACAAAGTTCTGGGGAACATAGTTGAGACAAAGAAAGCCAGGGAAGGCTATAAAGAGAAGATGATATTTGTCTTATATTTGAAGGATAAGTATAGGTCCAAGTAGATTTTGAGGGGAGTTATAGGAAGTACAAAGCTTGCCCTCCATATGTGCTGACCTAAGGAATGGGAGGCGAGAAAGGTCATTCTATTTGAAACTCCTTATACAAAATATTGTAGGTTCTCTGTAGACCCAAGTGGTTAGGGTAGAACATTTGACAGGTCATGCCTGGAAATGGAATTGAAAAGGTAATTTGAGCCCAGATATCAAGGAGTTTGGGGAATTATTAAAAGGTTTAAAGTGAGGTGGTAACATACATAATAGTCATGCTTGTGTTCTAAAATGAGAAACTCTGGAGGATGAAGGTGAAAATAGAAATGAAGACCAGTTATGCATTAGGTGGACATATCAATAGATGGGAAAAAAAGCTTCCTGATTAGGTGAAGTGCCCATTTGGTATAACTGCCTGGATTAGAACCAAGATTTTCTGTCACTTAAACCTAGAGTTTTTCTTTCTCTCTTTTCTTTCTTTCTTTCTTTCTTTCTTTCTTTCTTTCTTTCTTTCTTTCTTTCTTTCTTTTTTTTGGTTAGAGGGTACATGTTCTTACTAGAGAGAGACAGTGACAGAGCAAGAGAGGAAAAAGCATCCCCATGGGAAATAGGCACACCATGATCCCTTCTCCTCCCTCCTTTTGGGATTTTTGGGTACACATACACATACTGCTTGGTGTTTTTCAAGCCACTGGGTCTGGGACACAAACCATACGGTTGAGCATCTCCACGGGGAATAGGCACACCATGATCCCTTCTCCCTCCTTTTGGGATTTTTGGGTACACATACACATACTGCTTGGTGTTTTTCAAGCCACTGGGTCTGGGACACAAACCATACGGTTGACCATGTGGGTCCAGCTTCCTTAAGGCCACAGAGTTGGTCCAGTCTAAAGTTTTTCTAGAATATATTATGATGAACTTCACTAAGAATAGCCCAATGCCCCTTATTACTTAAATTTCTTAACTCGTTCCTTCACTTACATCTTTTTTTAGCATCTGGTCCATGGAATTGTAAAAACGAAATTTTAGACAAATCAAAATTTTAACAGAATTTATTTGAACAAAAGGAGATTCAAATGGGACAGTTTCCCAAAAGGGTTTCTGAGCAACTCTGGGTAGTCTCATGGCCACTCAGTATTTTAAGTTCTGGAAAGGGAAAGTGACATACAAAAATGAAAGTGAGAGATTGAGGTAGAGAAATAATTGGATTGGTTACAGTTGGATGGTAGGCTGCACAGTCTGAAAGGTGGGCTTTCTGTGATTAACTGAAGTGTGGTTAGTGTTATTGGCTGTAAATTAACAACCAGCTCAGAAAACAGCTTAACATGTATGATTTTGATTTATCCAGAGGAACCCAGGTGTGAGAGTACAGTGAAAATCAGGCTAACAACATATTGGATCACGAGGAGAGTCATCAGTACTTTTGCATAGAAAAACAGAAAAATATGTCATGACTTTCCTGACGACCTAATAGTTTGGTTTAACAGAATAAAACAGCTAAGGCTTTGAAAATCGACAGACCTTCAAGAGCGATAAAATACTTGCTGAGCCCCACTTGTTTTTGTTGTCATTAATCCTGTGACTGGTTTAAAATGGACAGAATTTCTGAGCCAGCCTTCTATGTAGTCAGAATGTCTGCATCTCATGTGTTCTTGCCTCGCTGCACATGTGCATGTTTTATAGCCTTCAGACTAACTTTCCTTATTTCCCTTGGAGCCTTTTCCAGCTGGGGGTATGGGAAAAGTCAGGCCAAAAGTCTGATTTCTCTCAGTAAACCTTCTTTCAGTATTTAGTGGAAAACTTCTATATGTGAAATACCGTGAAAAGCTCTTTGGAAAATACAATATACAGAAGCCCTCAAAGAGCTTGCAGCCTGGGCTAGCAAGTGGTGTGGTGGTTAAGGTGCTGGATGCTCACATGACTGACTGTGGTTCAAGTCCCAGATGCTCACATGACTAACTGTGGTTCAAGTCCCAGACCTGGTGGCTTGAAAATCATGCTGGGCACATGTGCATGCATGCACAAAATCCCAGGAGGGGAATAGAGGAGAGGGGATTGTAGCATGGCCATCCTTCTTGGGGGATGATTTTTTATTTTCCCTCTCACTCACTATCTCTTTCTGTCTCTCTCTGGTGAGCACACATGCCCTATGGCAAAACAAAACAAAACAAAACAAAACAAAAAAACCCCTGAAACTTACAACCTACTGTGACAGAAAGTGAAAAATCACCCCCAAGGGGGGATGGCCATGCTTCAATCCCTTCTCCTCCATTCTCCTCTTGGGCTCTTGGGCACGCACGCACATGCACCCCCTGTGAGTTTAAGCCTCCTCGTCCAGGACTCAAATCATGGTTTACTACATGGGAATCCAGTGACGTAGCCATGACACCATCTGCTGATCCGAAGGGGATTCATTTTTAAATGTTCAAAAAGTAAAATACAGTAACATCAGCAAGCAGTTTCCTGATATTCTGCTTATTATTGATGAGGCAGTAAATTAATTAGCCTGTTATTACTGGGAGCCTTCCAGGTATCCAGGGCTCTTTTACAAAGAGTTGGTAGTTGGAAAAAAACTGGTACAGAAATAACAATGAGTGATACAAAACTATGTCGTCTAACCTGCAGGAAGCATAATACCTATGTGAAGTGAGTTTGCATTAGAGAATGTGTCCTTTTTAGAGATTCTGTATGCAGCTCTATGAAAAACAGAATGAGGACAAATGTAATAAATTACACAATAAGAGAAGTGTTCCTTGGTAAGGCAGGCTCAACATCCCTAATCTGAAAATCCAAACCTTTCTGAATGCCCATACGATGCCACAAGTGGAAAATTCTATACCTGACCTCATATTATAGTTTTAGTAAAAATAACACAAAATAAAAATATTGTATAAAATTACCTTCATGCTGAAGGCGAATAAGGTATATATGAAATATTAATCAAATTTGGGTTTAGACTTGGGTCCCATTTTCAAGATGTTTCACCACAGGGATGCAAAAATTCTAAAATAAATCTGAATTTCTGTCCCAAGCATTTCAGATAAAGGATATTCAACCTATATTAAGTATAGTGGCCATTATTTCTTCAAGGACACCTCAGTCAGGCACTGTTTAATCCTTTTCTATAAATTAATTCTTGTAACAACTGTACAAGATAGGAAATAGTCTCATTGTCATTTTATGGGTAAATAAATTGAGACAAAAATAGATTAAGTAACTTGGTCAAGACCACATGGATCGGGGCCGGCGGGTGGCATAGTGGATAAGGGCGCTGGACTCCCACATGGCCTACCACAGTTCGAGTCTCAGACCTGGTGGCTTGCTTTCTCACTTTCTCTCTCTCTCTCTCTCTCTGCCTTTCTGGT